TAACTTTCAAGCTCATACATACTATGCCCAAAACCAAGCGAAGGGCGAAGATGCTTGCAAATGTTTTTCTTTCACTGATTTCCACGTTTTCTAGAAACCGATAAATTTCCTTTCGTATATAGGCATAAGGCTCGATTCGGTTTTGCAACTGATATTTACATCGTATTTCCAACTAGAACTCATTGAAATTAATCAGAAACAACCTTATGTTGGCGTAGATTTTAAATATAACTCTATTAATTTCACCAGGTGATTAGACACAGGTCCCTTTTGTCAAAAGCAAAAATATGCTTGCAAAGCGTTTTCTGTAGGATATTAATTAGTGAATTCCAAATGCTGCACATTCGGCAAAACGTGCCATTATATTGAGTATTCTTCCACCTGTAACAATTCCGGTTCTTTTAATCAATAAACATGATACTAATAGCTTTAATCTATAAACATGATTTTTTACTCTTAAGCAGTAACTTCACATTTAGTTAAAATACTCCTTACTTCTAATAAAAAGGTAAATCCCATCATTTTTACTTGAACAGCGTAGTATCAATCAATAAGTCATGTTTCCCATTCTTCGTTTAAGTTTCTTCTTCGTTAAGGGATGAACTCATTTTAGAAGTGTCGGTTTAAGTAAAACACATGAATTAGGATCTTGACTGTTCGTAAAATTAAATTAATTAAATGTATCGGGAGATCTGCATCGCCATTCAATCAGTATCATAATTTTTAGAAATTTAATTTTATGAAAAATTGCCTTATTAATAATTAATTTTTATGATCATTTAATGTATCATTAAAAATCATAGCATTTCTTAATTTCTATGAAATTCAAAGCACATTATTTTAGGAATTTTGCGAACGAGGAACGTTCCAATTTAAAATGTAAAGTAAGACAAAATATAATTTCAGACTAGCGTATTTTTTAAACTTTAGACACCTTTAAAATAACGTTAGAATTTTTTTCTCTGAATCTGAGTGCTTTAAAAATTTGCTAGATGTAAATTAATAGTACTTTCTTTTAATAATTTAAATTACAGATCTTATATTTAAATTACTCTAAATCTCAAGTTGACGAATATCGTTTCCTGTTTCACAGATAAATGTAAATATTAAACAACTATTAGCTTTGTTTTGATGATGCTTAAGATTAATAGTTCTTAGTGCAAGCAATTGAGAAGTTATCAGTTTCCCTTAGAACGTTTTTCCACGAAGACTTCTTTCACTTCAGTATACAGCTCTCACCTGCTTTGTTGTTATCGATTAAACAATAACAATGATAGAAAAAAAGGATCTTTTATGAAGTCTTATAAGTTACGTGAGCTAAAATAGAGCTTTTATGATAGAAATAATCTTTTTTGTGCTTAGAATTTTTCTGTATCAATAGCATTCAGCATATGCTTGTAAAATGACTCATTCTGAGTATTAAATTCCTACGCAGTGTGATGTAATAGTTATGTAGAATAAATAATCTTTGAAAATAGCTAATACAAATACAGCGTCGAATGACATATAAAGAGACTGCGTAATACACGAAACATGTAAAAACTGCATTTCAGTATTTATTTCTGTAAAAATGCTTTTCAGATTTTATTATTTGGAGACTTTTTATAATTTTTTAAATAATTTAATTTTTAATTTTTAAGAACTATATTTTTAAGCAATATTCTGTGATAATGCTTCAAAACTAAATAATAGCAAAATATGATGACTCATTACTCAAATCCATATTGCTTGTTCAAGGATTGTCGTTTTCTTTTGAAATAAGAATGTTTAAACGTTTCCTTTAGTGAAATACAATACGTTACCTATTTCCTAAAACATGCCTTAACTATAAATATTTTATTATGTATTGAAAATGTAAAGTAACAGATAAAAATTATTTTATTCAGTGGTATCCTTTCTTAAAATCCTTGGCAATAATTGAGCGAATATGCTGATAATTTTATTCCAGCAACAAAAACTAGTTAATTTATTAATAGCTTTTATGACTCTCCCATGCCTGAGGTATTGTTCGCAAAACCCTTTAAGAAACATTTTCTAAGAAAATAGCCTTTGGAATAGCTATAGCCATCATCATGTAACTTAATCTTTCATTCCAGCCTATAAAAGGTATGCTATTAATATTTTGCGAGATCGTAAAAAAGGGTGGTCACCTTATAACGCGTAGACTTGTAAATTCCGAAACTGGAGGATACCAGCATTAAAACTTTTGTCAATTACGTAGTAAAAACATTTTCAATAAATGCATCCGTATAAAATATTTTCATAGATTCCCGAACATTCTCAAACTTTACCTCCTATGCGGAGTGAGTAGAAATAAAACTGTTGCCAAGGTAAATGTTGAAAACCCCGATTAAAAACTGTAGAGTGTAACGTTTCAATATACGGAAAGAATAACTATTTAGACAACTATTTGAAACTTTTTAGGTTCTCAAACAAGGGGGGGGGAGTTTCGCAGCTTCAGAGGGGATGCACTCGGGCTTTTATTTAGCAGTTAAGTATTTAGTTTTAGTTTTATGAATGTAAAAAACTGCTTTTACTCAAGTTTTGGTATTAATTAACATTTTCTCTGCTTTGTAGAGTATCTTATTAAGATTTTAGTCTTTAACTGTATTCCTCACAAGAATGCAAATTAACTTTGAGTGTATTTAAGCTGAGGGTTTTTTTAATCTTATTACAGAGAGCTTCTAACAATCGTGTCTCGGTGTTAATATTCCTCACCAGTTCTGCTTCAAATTAATATTCAGGCTTTAGCATTTTTGCTAGCTGATGAATTAAACCTCACGTAAAATACCTCTTGAGCTGGCTTATTCTATTGCATATGTAGTCTTAGACTACGTTATCACCGATTGAATTTAATTGTTTGTTATTATTAAGTTAAATAGCAGAAGGCGTGGTTTTATTTGTAGCACATATTCACTTTATGCTCAGTTTAAGACTAAAATAAGAAAATTGTTTTAAGGCTTCTTCAGTATTTTGTGAATATTTAAGACTTAGCGATAACTTGCTATTTTTCTAATTTGATTGGCAGGACTTTATGCCTAGTTACACCATGAACCCTACAACGTTTTGTTATTTAATTTATGAAACGCGTTAAAAATAATCCAAATCTAAACAAATGTATGTATGTATGTTTCCAGTTCTGGAAAAGAAGTTTCGAGTTTTGGAAAGGATGGGCGAATGATCTTCTAACAATGGTAAAAGCGATACATGGGCCAAATCAGGTTGAAAACCATTAGAGTAATAATCTAATATTTAAAGAAAGAAAAAAGTTTTTAATCCTTTTTATTCTTTTCTTCTGTTTGTTTTATTTCCATCTACCTTTAAAGGGTTAAAAATTCTTATTCATCAAATTAAATACTAGTTAAGAACAAGTAAACTCCTTTCGATGCAGAAATACTTTTTAACCCTTTCATTCATATATTCTCCTAGATTGTTCTTTTAACAAAAGTTAGTCGGGACGTAAGTGAATTACTAAATTCTTTTATCCTAGGTAAAGCAGCAAATGGACTTCTGAATTATTCTGTAAATAGTCTCCTTTCTGGATTAAAGAAAAAGACTGTTTTCTCTGTATTTCATTAACAGCTGTCGAAGACATGAAAAATAAACTGTGCTTTGTTATTTTAAGTGCGAATGAAATATAAAGTGAATAGTAATAGTAGATATTCATTCTAGTCTGATATGAAAAAGAGAAACGCTTGGGAAAGGGAAAATTTGAATTTAGCAAGTTTAGGATAAGATTAATTTTCTCCGTATTTTGGTTGTCTGAACGTATTATTTCGATAATTCTTTGAAATAACATCAGTTGATCAAAGAATTTGGCGTCTTCTTATATGCCTTTAACGTTAGTGCTTTTGATATTATCCACGCAGGGATAAACTGTCATTTTCTCTGTAGAGACATTAGGTTAATTGGAAAAGCCGGAGAGATGAAAAATTAGCAACTGCCTTCGCCGGGAATCGAACCACGGACCTCTGGAATACCGGCCCAGCGCGCAGAACCATTACACGACGATGAAAAGTGGGAGAATAACCTTATATCTCTTTCGTAAGTTCCCAAAACTTAAAAAAGATTCCAAAGTACCGTAACAAAAACTGCCTTTATTAATGCTGTCATGGCCATCCAGTGAGAGAATGATTAGAATTGCTGAATGCTAGGAGTTCAATCCCAGGCGACCGGGCTGTTGCATGTTCGTTTTTCGTAATTGTCTTCATGTGTAAGGTGACTGGGTGCTAGTTCAATTTCCTTCAGAAAGTCCTCCCCGTTATGCAGATAGCCCTCATGTACCTTGCCATGTTAAAATAACCTAATTGCTGTCACTAGAACTTCCTTAACGATGTAAAACAAGCTGAAATTAATTAACTTTCTGTAATTTTCTTTTAAATTAATTAAATCATAGATAACAATACATCTAGATTATGTTGGCAGCAAAGCACTAGATTCTAAGCTCTATCGCAGCATTCATCGGATTAAAGCAGCATGGTATTCTTTATAATTCTCTTTTTATTTAATAACTATCCGAGATTATTACTATTAGAGACTAATTTAATTACTAATACAGACTATTTAATTACTATTAGAAACTATTGTTTAAGAGGAAAGAACAAACTGCGGCTTTAAATCTACTGTAAAAATCCAAAATTCTTAACAATGATTTGATACCTATTCTCGTTATATTCGGATATATTTCCTTGAAAACGGGTATAAATAAAAGCTTGAAAATATTATTCACTTCATATTTTATTTAATTACTATCTTTATATAATAACAAAGTAATGATATTCTGTATTGAACTGATCGCAATTTCTTGAATTTACTCAATAATGAATACATTCACTTATATTCACTTATCACATTATACTTATTGACAAAACAAAAAGTGTAATTTATGTTGTAACAAATTTCGAATGATTACGTTACACATAATTATTTAAAAATTTATTGCTGTACTTTTTAGGAATTATGCTGCATATAATTTTCTGATTAATATATTTTACTGTTAGCAAACGCCAGCAGGGAATGCCTGAAAAACGCCACTTGGTCAAGCTGGTCCAATTATCGGTCGTGTAAGCCCCTAACAATTCCAGAAGATGAATACTTACAGGTAATATTAATGTTAAAATATATAAAATATCCCTTATATTATGTGATTTCTAATGCTATGTATTTTTCTCTAGCAATCACGTTGCAGCTTTCTACCGGATCTTGTAATAAACTTATATTTGTTGATATTTGTAAACTGAGATGAATTTATAAGGTCAGAACCGATTTATGATCCGATGTTTAATAGGAATATCTATTTTGACCATAATCCATTCCAATATGCATAAATTTATGCTAATTTTAATAAACATTTTCGCGCGTGTATGTAAGTAAATAAATGCAATTAAAGATAAAATGTTTTTTATATTTTTAAATACTGCGATATCTATTTCATATAATTTTAAGTAAAGAAAAATAAAAAATAATAATGTTATATTTTTCTTTAAATTTAGGAATGAACCGCATTAATCAAATTTTTTGTCAAATATAAAAAATATTTTCTGTAGCATAATTAACAAAATTCAGAAATAAATTATCAATAACGTCATAAATTAAAAAAGAAATGAAAAATCTGAAAATTTTCAGACTTTAATAGTAGCCCAAAACGGTTTGTCAAGATCTTTTACGCTCTCGCTGAGCTCGCCCTCTCCACCAGCATGCTTTTACACTTATCAGGTTCAATGTTCCGTCTAACCTTCTTCGGGAACATGCAAGGACCTGACTCGGAACAGAGAGCTTACTAAAGCTATGTTCAAAACTGTGGGAAGTAGACAGGATAAACAAGAAGGGTATACAAAACCCTTTATTATTCTCTATTTACAATAACTTCCGTACTTCGGAAATACACAGACCCGCTACTTGGGGTCAAAACGTAAAAGTATAAAAATAAAACTAAACTCCAATTTAACTTTAAAATAATAAACGTGGAAGATTGGCCTTATATTAACAGGAAGCCGTATGTAGTACAGATAACTGTGAACACTACAATACGTTTAAAAATTATCAAGAGGATTAAAACCTCTAGCCTGGAAGGCAACCAGCAACTGAGTAAATTTCTAAGGTAAGCGGCCTGCTTCGACTAACTGCTTCCTCTCTCTCGCTTGGCAAAAAGCCACAACTTAAATACTTGGCGTTCGCCAGACAAACTTTGCATAAATACTTTAACGCTTATAATTCTGGCCGGAAGTAGAAAATAAGAAGTGATAGTAAAGATTTAAAATAAAATAAACGTTAGTAAAACTTACGATCCTTACATACTTCCCGCCAGAGTTAATTAGTTTGAAACTGAGGTCTAAAACGACCTTGTTGAAAACTTTTAGCTCTAGAATCTAACGCGAGGCCAATCTTTACAAACATTTTTCGCTAGAAACTAGAATTTAAAAGAAAGAAAATTTGTTTTTACAAAAGCAGCTCCCAGGACACGATTTTTTTTCATCTGTACTGCATCTAAACAGGAGCTTTTATTCAAATCTGGTTCCTTCCAGAGATCTGGAAGGAACACTAGTTTAATGAAATGTTACACAATGAAATGGCAAGTAACATGTATAATTATATTTCTCTTAACATTCTTATTTCATTCATGACTATTTAATTATCTCTCCCCGTGCTCTCTGACATGTGTTGTAAAAGAACACCAAACACGAATGTGTTTATGTCTATGTGTTCAAACACTTCCTCCTACAATCAAAAACACTAACGTGTTAAAATTCAACATACCAAGACCTCGTAACACACCCCTAATTTCAACTCTAAACCCTGAGGTACTATTCTGAAAGTGGCTAACTCTGAAGTGTAGCGTCAGAGAGCCTAACTACATCATTCAACCTTTAACACATATTCACCGTGATTTAGTCTTTTTACAGTCACACGAATAAAAAAAATTTTAACATTACTTTCACTTTTACCATATCACGGTATTTCTTAACATTTAAAATAACAGTTCACATTGTATATAAGAACATATTAACATGCCGTTAATTTTATACATTTGAAAACATACATTAAGACATTGTTAACTTCTATTCTTTTCAAAGCAAGTGCCAATTCTTTCTACATTGAAATAATACATTTCAAAAAGTCTTTCAGACTAAAACTTCTTTCTTCCCAGAAAGTTTTAAATAAAATTTATACAATTTATCGCTATTATACATCAACTTTTAGTTTTACGCGCGAGTAATTGAAAAACATAATACCAAAATCGGTAACAACTCATTTCTCGCCCTTTTGGCGATAAAGGTAGACCTCGCATGAGGTAAAACTTCTTGAAATCTGCCACTTGCAGTAAGAATGAAAGATTAACTTAAGTTTGCAAAGTAACATAAAATTTTACTTATCTTTGTGATATTCGGACATTCTTTTCTGGGCCCAGTCCTTAAAGGTAATGCAGATAGTTGTTTGATTTATCCTCCTTCTTGTACGGGCTCGCCCTTCAGTGCCTTCCTCTAGATGCTTTCTTTTCCTCCAGTTCGGTCACCCTTGAATACCTTCTTTTTCGCTTCTGCCTGTGGTCTTGGTCGTTTGATGGCAGCTGGTCTTGCCGGAACCGGGAAACTTCTTTCGTGTTCCTGCTTGGACCTCGTTGCTGGCCGTTCAAATTTTCCTTGTAACCTTTCCTCCGCCGCTGATGGCCCTTCCGCAGTTCGGCTATATTTGCTGCGGAGAGTCCTGTCGGATGAGTAGATCCTCCGTTTTAGAGCCGGGTTATAGTTGCCGTCATTTCTCCTGGTTCTCTTTGCATACGTCGTCCTTCTCCCTTCTTCATTCTGGGGGTGTTCGTGAACTCTCTTTTCTGGACGGTGGAACGGCTTCTTTTTCTTGCTACCTTCAATTTTATCGCGGGGAAACTTTCTTTTCACTTGCTCCTGCGTCTTAATGGCTTGCCCTTGTACTTGTCGTTTTTCCACCTCTGGAGCTTGTGCCTGCGGTGTCTGCCGTGCTGGATCCTGCAAAAGATCTGAAAATATTTGCATTTTATTACGATCATAGTAGGGTTAGATTTGATCAATGTTTGCGGAGCATGTTTCACCATTTCTGGCTTTTAACACTACTACAGCGTGAGTTATTTTTTCTATGACATATGGTCCTTCAAATCGTGGAAAAAATTTGGCAGTTTTATCTTCTGGTGCTGAAGAAAGTGAATGCTTAATTTTTAACACTTCATTCCCTACTTTATAAGTTACTCCCCGTCGTTTAATATCATAATAAAGCTTCTGTTTTCTCTGTGCTACTTCAGTATTCTTTTTTGCTTCTTTAATTAATTTTTCTATATCACCCATTTTAAATTCTGGGGCTCTTTGTTGCACATAAAATAATTTATCTAACGGCGTTATAATCTTTCTGCCTAAAAATAACTCAGCAGGAGTTTTGCCCGTTGTATCAGGTTTTGCGGTCCTAAGGGCGAAAGCAAATTCATTGACATAGTTATCCCAGCTTTTATGAAAATTTTTAACATAACTACGGATAATTTTCACTATATTTTCTATTGACCCGTTCCGCTATATTTGATTGCGGCCGATACGGGACCATTTTTAATGACGTATGCCCAGTTTTTGGCACATGTCTTCAAATACATTACTTACAAATTGAGGACCATTATCCGATATAACTTTTAGGGGCGACCCGTATTTTAAAATATATTTATTTAAAATAGAATCAGTAACTAATTTCGCGGAGGCTCGTTTTAAGGGAACAATTTCGGTCCATTTACTAAAATGATCAACCATAACAAGGAGATAGCGACTTTTATTTAACTGACTTTTTGGGAAAGGACCCAATAAATCGATGCCAATTATTTCATTTGGAAATTCGGATTTAATACTATTTAGAAACCCCGCCGGGCGGAAATTAATATAATTAACTGCCTGACATGTTGGGCAGGACTGGACATACGCCCTTGTTAACTTTTGCAGTTCAGGAAAATAGACTGCATCGCGTACGCGTTGGATAGTTTTCCGAATACCAGCATGAGAAGCTAAAGGGCTGTCATGGAGCTCCTGCAGGATATTTAATCTAAGACTAGCTGGGATAACAGGTCAAAATTCGTTGTTGGAATTCGTAGTTTTTGTATAAAATAATAGACCATCTATTAGTTCGTAATGGGCCGCCCTATTTCTTATCGCCACAATATCTTGGTGGCTAAAATTTTCAGGATCCTTTAAAATACATAAATGCTTCCAAACTGAGGATCCTTACCCAGTTCGGTTATTACAGTTTCTCGGAATTTATTGTACATGCTGTGAGCATTGCCACCTTTACAGTATTACCTTGTTCATCTATTTTAATTCTTGATAGGGCATCTGCTACGATATTTTCCTTTCCGGGGGTATGCTTGATTACCAGATTATATTCTTGTAGCTTGAGTTCCCATCTTATTAACCTTGGGGATAAGTTTTTCCCTGAGTACAATCTAGTTACCCCCGCATGATCAGAGTACACTGTTATTGGCGCCTTTCCAAAATAGACTCGGAACTTTTGCACTGCTAACAGAACTGCAAGTGCCTCTCTCTCGGTCGCGGAATAGTTTCTTTGTGTTTGATTTCACGTTCGGCTAAAAAATGCCACGGGCTGCTGATTTTGCGAAAGTACCGCTCCTACCGCATAATCCGAAGCATCCGCTGAAATTTCTAAATTCTCATCCTTTTCAGGAAATTTCAATACAGGGGCTTGCGTTAATGCTTGTTTTAATTTTTCGAAAGCACTATTGGCTTCGGCCGTCCACGAGAATCTTGCATTTTTCCTTTTTAATTTTAACAATGGCTCAGCCATAGCTGCAAAATCTTTTATAAAGGACCAATAATATGAACAAAGTCCTAGAAAAGAAGAGAGCTTCTTCGCCGTGTTTGGAGTCGGATACTTTTGTACAGCAATTATTTTTGATTCGTCTGTCTCTATTCCTTCCTCAGATATTTTGTAACCTAAATATTTTAATTCAGGGGCTGCAAATTTGCACTTTTCGACATTAACTTTTAGACCGGCCTCATTTAATAAAGAAAACACCTGTCTTAAATCCTGTACATGTTGGTCGAGATTATCACTAGTAATAATGATATCGTCTAAATAGAT